TGGTTATAATTAGAGAATTAACAAATGAAGAAATTAGGAGGATAATGAGGAAATAATAAGAAAGAGGAATCCTGAGAGATAACTAGTAAAAGAGAATAGTGAGGAAAAAAGACTATATAGAAGGAAGTTAGGGGAACAATAAGAGATGAGATATAAAATGAAATATCTTTGCATTTCATGGTTTTCAAACATAAAGAGGATGAAAAATTTTACATTTCTGATTGACTGTATGTTGACATGTCACATACTTAGTGTGTAGTCTATTCGATATGTTTATTGAGCCTGTTGTTTTACTTATTCTATTCAAATTCTAATCTTTTTCAGATAAAGTCAACGAAGACAATTTATAGAGCCAAATCAGGAATTTAATATTTAATTTTCATCTGGTGAGTTTTAGTTCAGTTGTGGACTCTACAGTTTTCATCAACTTCATGATGTAAATTATGTTACATGTTGTATAATAGATGAATAACTTCTGTTGTGCTTTTATTTTAAAATTTTTAGTCGTATCTTCTGGTTTAGTTATGTTTGGCGGCGTAGTTTCTCATTGGAGAACTGTGGGCCGTCACAATATATTATTTATTTTTATTTAAATTAGGTTATATTTAATTTTAGATTGAATTAATTTCTATATTTTTAACGATTTTTTAATTACTAACGGTTAATATTATTAACTTTAATATTATATAAGTAAACAAAAATTGACATAACATTTCTTAATTTATTCAAATATGCATTGAATGGTAGGTCAGATGCAATGTAATATTCATCTGGCATGATAATAAAGATGTGTATAGATTCAGACTATTTTTGTACAAAAAAAGTATTATATCAAATTATTTTAATGAAACAAATACATTACCATACTAAAAGATATTTATATTTATTTTAAATAGAGTGTGTAGCTAAAAAATAAAAGAAAATTAAATTTTGTCTTCTATATGTCTTTTTGTGTACATTATTTCATTTTTTTGTTCATTTAAATTCCATTTATCGGCCGAGTTTATTCTTCAATTAATTGTATTTGTTGGCGGTGGATGCAATCCTAAACGATGTCGTTTGGATCTCGTAAAACAAAACGACAGCTCTAGCCGCACTCCTCGAAAATGGCAAAAAGCGTAAATACCTTAAGATTCATGGGTATTTACATTAAATTAAATCATTTAGCGCTGGAAAATTCCCGTTTCCCTCTCCAATTGGCGCCAGTTCTCGTCTATTGCGTCACTTCGTTATTTACATAAAACCCTACCCTCAATCTTTCTCTGCAAGCTCCAATCTCTTCCAGAAATCTCAAAACTCTCTCTATAAGCTTATCTGTACTGACTTATGTAAATTAAGAAGAAGAAGTAGAAAAAATGTTTTATTCGCACACTTTTTTAGCTCGAAAGGGGCCATTGGGTACGGTATGGTTGGCGGCTCATCTGCAACACAGGCTTAAGAAATCTCACTACACCTCCACTGATATCCCCGCCACCGCTGGTCTGTAACCCATTTACCTTCTCCGTTCTATCGCTTTAGCTCTGTACCCTCTCCATCCAGTTTAATAAATTGAAGATTCTACCTTTTTTTTTTGAAGTTTAATCGGGTTGATTTTGACGGAGAATGGTTTGAAATAGATAGTTTACGGAGTTAATTCGATTTTTTTTTTCTTTTAAGACTTCATTTTAGTTTTAATTTCTAAATAATTTCGTGTTGTGGCTTGACATTCGTCTTGATTTTTGTTCTGTAAATTTCTTGTCATTCAAGTACTAAATTTTAGTTGTTTTAGTTAGTGACCCAGTTAGCTAATTCTTCAAATTTGTTTGATTCCTTTATATCTTTCCCCTTCTTATCTTAACAGTTCCGAACTTCATCATAGTTTTCAGTTCCGTATGCTACTCACTGAGTGTGATAGTTTTTTTTTGTTGGATGGTGCAATATGTTTGTTCCTCATTTTCAATACTGTGAATCTAGATTTCCTTTATTTCTTTTAATTTTCGAAATACGGGATTTTCAATGGTGATGCAATCCCCTGAATTTTGTATTTCTCTCTTTGAATAGATTTTAAGTGATGTTCCTATGTGACTATTTTTCTGTAAAGTACAAAGTAGCTTCTCGAAATGATGAACCTAAGGTTGCCTATTGTTTTGGTCTTCTATGTTAATGTCATAACTGGTGTAGTTGAGTTCCTTTTTATTTTGCAAATGGACTATCAGCTTTTTGTAATGCTTAAATTAATGAGAAGTGGCAAAAAAAATCTGTATTTGATGAAAGTGGCAAAAAAATCTGTATTTGATGGTGAGTGCGTCTCAATAGTTGAGTTTCGATCAAAACTTTTTGTGGCATATGTTTTATCTCCCCCCTTTGAGGAATTCATCAATTGACTATTTGTATTATGTTTAACTGTATTTTTGCAGACCTTATCATGTTCCCGGAGGTTCCAATTGCTTTAAGAATGTCAGGCCACCTCCTATTAGGGCTTGTTCGAATATATTCGAAGAAAGTTGATTATCTATTCCAAGAGTGTAATATTGTTCTGACCAGCTTAAGAAAGGCATTTGCTTCTGTAGAACTTAACTTGCCAGAAGATGCAAGACAGGCTCCTGTTGAATCTATCACTTTGCCAGAGACATTAAACTTGGATGCCTTTGATTTTGATGAGGACATAGATTATCTGTAAGATGTTTCTCCTCACAGCCTCTTTTGTCGGTAAAAAAGTTGTGAATTTTGTGATCATGAATAAATTTTGTCTTGCAGTGTTTCAAATGATCATCTCAAGAGTCAGGAGGATATCACACTTACAGGTATTTTTCAGTTCTAGTATTTTACTGTTTGTTTGTCTCCAGTTGTGCCCGTGGCTATGTTTTTTTGTCCAAATAGATTATATTATGATATGTGTTATACAAATTAACAGATCAAATTCCAATGGAGGGAGATCCTTATATTGTTATAACGTTTGATGAGGTTAGTCTCTCTGTCTTTCTCTATCTCCTTGTTTGTGACATAAATTATGTGGCTATTCCTTGTTCTTGTATTTCTAATTGGAAACTGAAGTTTTGAGCTTTTACAACTAGAAACTTCTATTTTTGCAGGATATGATAGATGTATCACATCCTGTAGAGTTTCCTGATTCTGGAGTCAGACCAATGCATGTGGAGTAAGCTCCTAATTATATTTTACATCCTCTGAGAATTTGATTGTTAGTTTTTTTTAGTAATCATAGTGATATTTTTAATTCTCTTTAAACTCAGTGTTCGACCTACAACACCTGTTGATGGTAATATAAACAATCAAAGGGAAGAAACCTATGTGGCACCACCTGTTCAAGATGCTGAGCCAAGCAATCAACTGGAAGTGCCAAATGCACCTGTTGATTCTCGAGATCCAACTAATGAGAAAGGAACGCTTAACTCAACCTTAGAAGTTCGGGATTCTGGAGCAAGCAATCAGACGGACATACCTGATGTGGGGTCTAGCCATGAGAATTTGCTGCCTAATCCCCCTGATATCGAAATTATGCGTGATGCTGCCCATGATTTGAGTCATGAAAACGTTCCTCCACATTTTCCAGATAATGCAAATGATACAACCGAACCAACTGGATCTTTCCACCTGATTTCAAATGAGAAGCGGAATCTATCTCCAATTTCAGAGGATATGTTGGCTTCAGGAGGAGAGCCCATGCTGTTTCAGCAGTATTCAGAACCACCACCTTCAGCTGCTTCTAGAGAGGCTCTTGATACACACGTTTCATTTGGTAAGTACATGGCATACATATTTGGTATGCATTGGATACAAATACAAGTCAAATACCATCCATGTTTGGTTTATTTATTCCAATGTGTATCAGGTATTTCATCACCTGAATTAGCCCTTCGACCAAGTCCAGCTGTACAGTCACCACAGAGAATTTCATCACCTGAAGTAGCCCTTCGACCAAGTCCGTCTGTACAGCAGCCCCATAGGAGGGGACGGAAGAGGAAGCTCTTTGATAAGTCTACAGTGTTGACTAACAGGTATGACTGTTCAAACATTCAGTATAGAGAGTGTCGATTATTTTGATGGCAGTTACTAACCTAAAGATATGGATAGATTTATGAAGCAGGCACTTGAAGATTCTAGTTACCTTTTACGAGAAAGGAAGACTGCTCCTTTTTCTTCTCTTGGATTATGGAGGCTGAAAAATATTAGAAGGAAAGAACAAGTACTTAGTGAACCTTTAATAACTGGTGAGTGCGTCATTATCTATGCAAATTTGTCCTCTTTGCTATGGTCAGTTATGGTTTAGTGAAACAATTGTTGTTCATTTGCAGGGTTTTCTGCTGATCTCTGTGATATTTTCAAAAAGGACTATATCTCTTCAAGGTCCCAATTAGCTGTTGTGGAGGAACCTATCTCTGAACAATCTCCGATTCCTGCAAGATCTCCAAGTCCTATAACTGAAGCTGTTCCAGAACCTAGCATTCTGCAAACCCCTGATCCTCTTGTTGAAGTTCAGTTCAAGGCTAATGCACGACTTCCTGATGTATTTCCAGAAAATAATATGCACACAAATGACATTGAAATTGAGCTTCTCCGAGCTGGTAAAGGTGATGGAGGAAATAGTAGTTTACCTGATTTCATGACTTCTGCAGCTTCATCAATGCCCTCTCCTGGTGCTCCCCTGCCCTCTCTTGTTGCATCCCTTCCTTCTCCTTTTAGAACTGATATCAGGACGCCTCCCTCAATGAGCAGTTTAGGAGAAGGGGGTGTTCCTCAGGCAGGAACTTCTGGAACAGGAGTACTGCCCACACCTGATTTTTCAGCATCTACTGCGCCTTATGGATCTGACCTTGAAACGCCAAGGACATTCCTAGAGGGGGGACTAGGTATAGGAAGCACTGGACTTTCAAACATTCTTGAATTAGAAGAAGTAAGTTCTTTTTCTGTCGTGTGTTTTATATAATTTTATTTCTTTTGAGTCTTCTTTTCCTTGATAATTTCTATTATCTTGGTCTATGGAAGATGGTGTTTTTTGACTATAATTCTGCTTGTTCTTTTTTTTTTTTTTTGTGTTTTAAGGTGCACAACTTGAGGGTTTGTAGCCTTGAAGTTAAGGAGGCTGTTCCCTAGTTGCCTTACCTGATGCATGCTTGTCCCTGAGCTCTTACTATCTCATTTGCTTCCATTACTGTTATTTTTATATGAACATATATTCCAAGTTGGCTATACATGTAGATGGACAGCCTGAGGCATCAATTTTGGTCTCTCAACTTCTGTGCATAAGCTAATCTTGCCTTTCTGACATACTTGATTACCTAGTTAATTCTGATTTAAACTTGTCATGCAGGATCTTTCTTTTTTGGAAGCTGAGAATAATACACCAACAGGTGAGGCTGAGTCATCTATTAATTTTTTATTAGGATTTTGATGATTTTGTGTTTGTGGATTGATCCCATTGGTTTGTTGTTGGTGCTCAAAGGATGTTGAATCTAAAACATCTAATTTTGTAACGTTTTTATCCTAATTGCAGACAGCCAAGCTAGTCAAGGAGTTGGCTCATTGTCTGCGAGAACCAGGCATGGGATCTTTCTTAAGAAGAAAGTTTGCTCCTAATATTTTTGATGATTTATCATTTGTCAACAATGAATTTTTTCACTACTTTCTACAGGGCTGTGGCACAACATTTGAAAAGCCAGTCTGGAGATCTAAGCTTAAACAAGATCTTGGAAGGGAAGACAAGAAAAGTTTGTGCACGAATGTTCTTTGAGACACTGGTAAAGTTCTTATGTGTTTGATGAATTACTAAAGTCATAATATCCCAACAACTTCATGGGGAAAAGATAATTGGCATGAAAAAGTTCTCTTTTTTATTTTTGTGCTAGCATGGCTTTATGAGTTTAATATTTGGTAGAAGCAAAGTGCAATGGTCTATTCACTTACTAATTCATCTAGAAGAAAGTAATTCAACTAGACAATCTCTTTCTTCTAGTTGAACATAACTACATTGTGTTATTGGACATGGCTAGTTTCTGCGACTTGGGATTCCATGTTCTATTTTCTTGTCAACTTGCTTGAATTTTTCTTTTTTTTTTTTTGTGTATAAATTTTGTTGTGTACAAAGGCCAGCTTTCCATCATATAAATAGTTTCCCTGTATGCAATGTTCAGTTTTTTTTCCTCACGATTTTGTGGTTTCTCTGTTCTGTTATTAACATTGTTTCAACCATGCACTTGCTAATGTTTGAGAATTGAGGGTTAATCTTTCTCATTCAAGTTAGGCTTTTTGGTGGAAGACTCTAAATTGGACATATTATAGTATTGAGAGGTATTTGTATAATTATGATTCTTTTAATGTTATTAAGGATTTTAGTTGATTTAAGAATCAGCAATTATAGACTTCTATTACTATTGGTTTATTATTTCAGATTTTGGTAGCATCTTATTTGGATTTTTTTCTACTTAGCATTCTAAACATAATAGAACATCTAGGGTGCTATTATTAATTCTAGCATACAACAGTGCAAAAGTTAATCTGTACGTGTTGAGATTGTAGAACACTACTAGTCGCAGTTATCCTTATCAATTATAATAAACTTCATCCATCCCTTTCATTCCTGCATTGATTATTTCGATCCATCTTCTCTGATTTTTGATTTATCATTTATCACTCTTTGCGTACATCATTTTGTATTTCTGCCTGTTTGTTGACAAGTTTTCTTGTTTTCTACTTGACTAAGTCAAATATATCCTGGTTGTTCTCCATG